CTTTGTGTTCATATTTGACTTGATTTCGTACCGTTTCTAATGCATTCGTAGACACCATTCAATAAAATCTATCAGCCACACGCGGTGTTTAACCCATTTTTTGTTTGCTCGCACACCATGTTTTTCTTATTTATATAGAGACGGGACAAAAGAGTGTGAGCGAGAGAAAGAGAGAGAGAGAGAGAGAGAAAGAAAGAAAGAGAGAGAGAAAGAAAGAGAGAGAGAGAGAGAGAAGGGGAGGGGAGGGGATGGCGAGATGGAGTTAAAGATGGAGAGAAACGTCAAAAAGCGGATGAGGAGAGTAGGAGCGGTAGGGATGAAGAGGAAAGAAAAGAGAAGAGAAGGGAAGATAAGATAAGAGAAGACAGGCGAGACAAAGACAAACATTAAGAGCGCGAGAATAGGAGCAATACACGTGGCATCACCGTTTTGCTAGTAGTGGACAGAATTCTCACCACCTACTACACACACATGTGACCCACGCTGAAACCAACGTCTGCATCAGCCTGATATCTAGTGTTTTACAGCTAGGAAATGGTTTATAACTCGACCTAATAAAGTACACGTGAGAACATTCTAAAAGAAACACCCGATGCCGGCCCACAGGTGGCGCTCGTTAGAAGCAGTACGTACACGCAGGAACTGGTCAGGAATTTGGCTCTTCATTGGATAATCGATAAAACGTGCTCAAGACATCCCTCTCAAGTTCCACGTGAATTATTTGTAGACGTTCTACTGCATATAGTATGAGTTTTTCATTGAAATTCCCAAGGCAATTAAGTTATCACATTGGTTTACTTTGCTAGATTGCCTGCCATTGCTATGTCCCCACCACTAACGTTAATCATAACACTCATACGAGCAGTGACCCTTACTAGAATATATATATTCCCGACAAGTTGACAGAACTCTCGGCACCTGTAGCTTTAATAATTGATGATGTATATTAGGTGCTCTCTGATAAATAATGCATGGGCAACCAGTCGAATTTCCACAACAATAATAACAAACAAGAATAACGACGACGAGAACAACAACAACAACAACAAATTAGCACCTCCAACAACAACTGCGATTACACTATAACAATCTGTCGTGTATTTCAGAGATCGAGGCCGGTGATATCGGCGACCGCAGACGAACTGTCCACTTCGTCGCGCTCTAAACTCCCGCCTGTCACAGTTTCCACTGTGGAAATGCCACGATGAGAGAGTAGCCGAGCTGCGCGTATATATGCCGCAAACACGAGGCACGCACCTGCGCCTAACGCCGGCGTCGTTTCTTACCACACTGAAAATTCAAGTCACGGTTTCAAACAGGTAGGCCTACGTGCCCCATGATTGTGGCGGCAAAGGCGTATCTATTGCCGATACCGCGTACAGTTAAACACGCTGCTGTTCTTCAAAAGCTGCACTGTTTGGCTACTACATATACCGTACTGTGGGATAGCCTACAGCGAATATAGAACAACGAATTTCACAAAATAGGTGCGTACCACCGAGTACTAGACGTACGCAGTAAGATATGCAGCCCCTTATTAATGCAAAGCCTTTGGGGCAGAACGACGCGGGTAGAACAAGCGGAAGAGCAAGCAAGCGGACGGACAGACGTAAAACTAAACACCCACGTAGCAATGCTGGCGTGTAGGATGCGGACTCACTCACCGAGTAGAAGTAGCGCCTGTGTCAGGTCAGTTCTATCTCATCAACACACAGCAGCCATAAAGCACGCACCGGCCAGTCGCTCACAGGACACGACCACTCAACGCTGACAACCGGAAGATGGGACTGACCAACGCTGACCAACGCTGAGCAACTGTTGCCCGTTGCAGCACCATGTGAAGCAGCGAGCCGACTGACAGCTTGACCGTCGGTACGTGGTTCCTAGCTCCGCGTTTATATTTAACACACGTCTACAGGAGATTTTATTCGCCTTCTGGGCCAACCAACCTCGCCGCCGCGGCCAGTACAGCACCGCCGCAACGAAAACATTGCATCCGCATGCAATGCTATCGTAGATGCTTCGATGATGAGGATGAGGAGGAGGAAGCTGAAGAAGATGCTACTAACGCGGTCTGTGCGAGTGTGTTGCTGGAGCTGCGGGGGGCAGACGACATGCTTCCGGGGAAGAGGACGACGACGTAAACACGGCCAGACAGCAGGGGGTGTAGCTCGTGCATAGAGAGATGGGGGGGGGAGACAGAGAGAGAGAGAGAGAGCGAGAGAGAGAGGGGGGAGAGAGAGAGAGAGAGCGCGAGAGAGAGAGAGAGAGAGAGAGAGAGAGAGAGAGAGAGAGAGAGA